GGTGGTTGAAATATCTGCCCCCCCCCCCCCAAAAAAAAAAGAAATTGAGTCTGATATTGCATTTTTTTAATGTTAGATGGTAGATTCAATAGCTTCTTTCTTTCTTTAGGTACTTGATCTCAAGAAGATCCAAAACACCTCTATATGAAGAATTTTATAATTTCATGAATGCTGCCTGCACTTAGAGTCCTGCCAGACGCCAGTAATAAGGAAAATACTTTGAACAATACAAATTTACCACCAAAAGGAAAATCTCCCAAACGCTTCCTGAGCATGAGACTGTCTGCTGCTGTTGATATTGCGGGAAATTCCAGTACAGTATGTTCGAAACGGGTATCAAATGTTGGTGGTTTACATGAGGATACACAGGATGTTCAATCACCTACAGTTTGTGAAATAAAGAAGTCATTCTAGAGTCACAGCCTGGCCCTATAACTCCAAGGTTTGTCAGATCAATCATCTCTTGTTTATTTCATGCACCTGAATTTCATTCACCTTTTAACCTGAGAAATTGATTTTTTGTTTAATAATCATGCAAGTGACTCTGAGATAAGAAAAAAAATGAGAAGAAGAGCTTGCTGAAGAGCTAGAGAGATCACGAGGCAAGTTGGTTCTGCATTACCTTTAGATATGTGGTTTTACAAGAGTCTGCGTGTGAAACTTGGTGCTTGTCTAGCTAAGAAACATCCCACTTTTGGTCCTGTTTTTTTTCATATTTGGTGCACAACTATGGATTTCTCGTCACTTTTGATTCTTCCAATCACTTATACTGCAAGTTTCAGTAAAACATGTGGTTGATTTTTACTGTATAAATGATCAGAAAGGATAGAAATCCACTGTCGGGATTCGTGAATCAATTGTGGAGACAGTGAAAGCCGGGTACTAAAAGTCATTTCGCAAAAAGTAATGCTGATGTTAAATATATGAGTGAAAAAAAAGTGAAATTTCACCATGATTACATATCTTTCGATTCTTGTCATAACCAATATCAGTGGTCGTTGTTGATGTATTGTTTGTCAATTAAAGTTGTTGTCTACTACATACTCTACAAAGATTGTTTCTGGTCGAAATCCTAGCCCACAACCATAGTCATTTTTGTTGTGTTTTCCATCAAGCTGGCATCAGAATACGTCTTAGACATTGAGTTGTGATATTATACTTTTAGCCCTTAATTTATGAACATGATACAAAGTAAACTATGTGTAGAAAGGTACCAATAAAAGAAGGACCACGAACATAGTATTAGAAAAGACCAATTATGTAATAAAAATCTAGCTGGCGAGCCTCATTAAAAACAGAGGTACCGAATAGGCAAATAGGCACTAAAATGTCATTGAATATGCTTTGGTTTGCGGGTCTTGAAGTTCCAATGCATTGATTACTAAAATTTGTGATCTTTTCAGAGATTATGTGTCAAGCCCGTAAGCTAAAGACATGCATCAACACCCAAAGAGCGAGCAGGAAACCGGTTCAAAGACCGACTGAGATCTGCATCTCCGGGTTTATGAAGCGCACGATCAAAACAGCTTTGTTTTGAAGCTCTTTTTTCATGAACTCACACCACATCGGTTTAGGCAACCGGTTCATAGATGGACCCCGTCCTGTCGTGTGGAAGCATGCAAAGTTCTCCCGTGTGAAAAAATAATCGTTTGATGGCAGTCGGTGCTTGTGTGTGTGTGTGTGTGTGTACCCATTCATCCATAGATACACCCAGCAAAGACTGAAAACCAAGTAGAATCATATGATCTCTCTTTGCTTAGCTTTTAAATGGATACTTTTATGCATGGCATTGTCACCACCACGAGAGAAACTTATATTGCCTTTCAACACATACCATACCATCTCTTGATATAAGCTCTAGTTATAGCATATGTGTTTTGTTTTGGTCTTTGCTAAGTGATTACCATTCAATTTCTATCTAAGAGTGTAATAGTATGTGGGATATACAAACCCTTCCCATTGATGGGCTAAGCTGTTGGGAGTATTAATTTTTATTAAAGAAAAAAACAAATACTCCTCTCAAAGGGAAATTCCACCTTTGATTTGTTTAGTCAACTGTGTTATGTTTGATAATGATTTGTAATGCAAAATTTGAGCGTGTATTTTTTTGTCACAATCTTTTTTAGTCATTATCTTTCTCATAGCCTAATGGGTTGTTGCAACTTGTAGCAATGAATCTAGTGCAAGAAATAATGTGCTTGGGAGGCAGCCATGTATGAGATTGATGTGTGTGGTGGAGGAAGAAAATTGGTGACTTGAAATGTTGTTCCTCAATGGCCACCCATTGTTCATAATCATGTTTGGTGGTGTTCCCCCCTATGCTTTTAAAGAGTTTTCCCATCATTATTAGGGTTGATCTATTTTTTATGAGAGTTTGGTACTAAAAAGTTCATAATTACAAGGACCAATTCATACTGCTATAATATATACTCCCTTAAAACATTTCCTGTTTCAAAAAAAGTGCCTTAAAATGAGTAATTTTGGTGTTATTTTCTAATTTTGCCATTACTTTATAGAAGAGTAGGATGAGATGTATAGAATAGATTAGTCATAATTAAAAAATAACACTAAAATTACTCATTTTAAAGGCGTGTCATTTTTGAAACAGGAAATGTTTTATGGGACGGAAGGAGTATTATGATTCATAAAATAAGTATGGATCTATAGATCATAAAAGAATTTGCCTTAGGCCCCGTTTGGTACACGGAATTCAAACTATGGAATTGGAATTGAAGACTTCAATTCTAATTCTGGTGTTTGGTAGCACAAAAATTATGTGGATTTGGAATTGATAATGCAAAAAATGAATAGGAATTGGTGAATTCAATTTTATGGATTTTAATAGATAGTTGAAAATGAATGGTTAGAATATTTACAAATGAGAACAAATTTTTAGACTGTAGATTTTTTTTTATAAAAGAGGAAAAATTATTTTGGGACGCATAAAAAAATTGTGTGATTGAGATCGGAGGGCAAGGGTAACATGCTCCATGTACCAGAACTTTTGGGAGGCCAAGGAGAGAAAACTTTTGAAAATACTCTCTACATGATTAAGACTAAAACATATTCGATGACTTGTATTAAAATGAGATTTTTAATATATTTATAGCATAAAAAAGGCTTATAATATCAAAATATAATACAAAAAATACGACTCTCTTCATTCCAATTTAAATGACTTGTTTTGATTTACGATGCTTTACTAAAGTTATTTTTAAATATAATTTATTTGAGATTTGGAGGGAAATAGAAAAATAAAATTTACATATTAAAAAATTACTTTAAAAGCTCTATAAAACAGGAGGTGACATAATTATAATATTTTATCAAATGAATAATGAAAATAAGAAAAGAAAGTAAATAAAGTTTGACTATGTGAATAATAAACAAACAACTTAATTTGGGACAAAGCCAGTATGCAATATCAAAAAATAATATGAAGCGGCAGGCATGCACAGTATCAACATTACTCCCTCTGTCCTAAAACTTTCTTCTCAATTACTATTCAAATTGATGGGTATATCCTTATACCCGACCCGGATAACCAAAAGGGACAGGTCAAAACATGACCGGTCACTTTTCTTAAGTCACCAAATGAGGTTAACTCTTCGATTGGGACGGGTCAAAAGTTGACCGGTCACTTCCACTAAAAAAAGTGACCGGTCACATTTTAGGCGATAGCCAAAATATCACCTAATGTTGTGGAGAATTCTAAAAGACCAAAGAGACGGGTTGAGCGCAAGAAATGACCGGGTAACCTTTCAAAAAAGGTGACCGGTCATATCACTTTACTTGGCTAACATTGGTTCAGTCTCTTAGGCATGAGGAACCACGTCAGAGGTCAAGGGAACACCCCGCCGCTCATCCATCACGAGGCATACAGTGAAAGGGATGTTTGTCATTTTGCAGGGTTGATTGGATTGAGAATATCCATTTTAGTCTTTGATTGAACAGTGCTTTTTGGTTGTATTGGTGGCAAGTCCATGATTGTACAGTG